ACAAGCTTTTTTTCCGTTTTAGACCTTAAAAGCGGATTTCACCAAATTCCATTAAAGGAAAAAGATATAGAAAAAACAACATTTTCCGTAAACAATGGCAAGTACGAGTTTACCAGGCTCCCCTTTGGTTTAAAAAATGCCCCTTCAATATTCCAACGCGCCCTTGACGACATCTTTAGGGAACACATAGGAAACATTTGCTACATTTATATTGATGACATTATCGTTTTTAGCAAAGACGAAGAGTCTCATTGCAAAAATCTGAAAACAATTTTTGAAACACTAAGTGCAGCAAACGTTATATGCCAACTAGACAAGTGCGAGTTCTTTAAGAACAAAGTAGAATTCTTAGGATTCGTTATATCGGATAAAGGAATAGAGACTAACCCAAAAAGGTAGAAGCCATAGCTAACTATCCAAGACCAAAGACCTTAAAGGAATTAAGATTCTTTCTTGGGTTATCAGGATACTACAGGAGATTTTTACTGGTCTATGCTACAATGGCCAAGCCACTGACTGATTAGCTTAGAGGGGAAGACGGACGCTTTCAAAAGGAATGTCGTCAAAAAAATTGATTCACCTAGACGATAACGCAATAAGAGCATTCGAACAGTTGCGCAGTACACTAATATCCAAAGACGTAATACTCCAATACCCAGACTTTGATAAAGAATTCACACTAACCACAGACGCCTCTGACTATGCAATAGGAGCAGTATTATCACAATCCAACAGACTAATTGCATTTATATCTAGAACACTTTCTAAAACTGAAGAACAATACGAAACGGCAAAGAAAGAAATGTTAGCCATACATTGGGCTGTTAATTTCTTTAAGGGATATCTTTACGGTGGTTCAAAGGTAAAAATCTATACCGATCACGAACCACTCACACACGATTGCAATTGGAAAGGCGGGATAGCTATTAGAAGGTGGAAGTCTTATTTAGATGAATATAATAAAGAATTGCTCTACAAGCCAGGGAAAGAAAACGTAGTAGCAGATGCACTATCGAGGGCACCAAGGCAAGTTGAAATTAATTCATTGACAGCAACTCAACATAGCGCTCAAAGTTCTAGCCACAATCTGATATCAAGTGTTGCATCTCCGATTAATGTTTTTAAAAACCAAATTTTTATACTTAAAGAAGAACCACCTGACTACAAATTTACCCTTCCATTTCCCACATTCCATAGGCGATATAATACAAATTTTAAGAAAACACCTTTACCCCAAAGTCATTAATGGCATTCATACAACAGAAGATATAATGGGTCATATACAAAGAATTTACCCAGACAATTTTGCATCTTTTAAAGTCAGATTTAGCCGAAAACAAGTAGAAGATATAACTAATCAAACAGAACAAGACGAGCTTATTCTAAAAACTCACAATAGGGCACATAGAAATCCTGAAGAGAATAAAATTCAGTTAGCCGAAAAATGCTACTTTCCTTAACCTTAACCTTAGTAAAACAATGTCAAGTGTGCAAGGAAGGAAAATATGATAGGCATCCCACAAACCCAGAAATAATGGAAACCCTAATTCCTGAGTTTCCGGGACACACAATTCATATAGATATTTTCTCTACAGAAAAAAAACTGGTACTTACGGCAATTGACAAATTTTTGAAACTTGCGCAAGCAAAATTAATAAATTCAAATTAAATAGAAGACATAAGAAAACCTTTGACATCTTATTCTATTTTGGCGTACCAAAATACGTCGTAATGGATAATGAAAAATCTTTTAATTCCGCTACAATAGCTTTTATGATGAGAGACCAGCTGGGCATACAAATTTTTAAAGCACCCCCTTATAAGAGTGCTGTAAACGGACGAAATTATGAGATGCTTAAAAACCAAACAGGTACACCGAACTTTTGAAGAACTATTAGATTCATCTGTCTACGAATACAACTTCACAATTCACTCTGTAACAAAAAAACGACCATTAGAAATATTTTTTGGTAGAAATATAACCACTGACCCAGGAAAATATGACGAAAGCAGACAAGACAACATCGAAAAATTGAAATCAAAACAGGCAATAGAATTAAGAAACCATAACGAAAAACGCATTAAGATCAAGGATTATGAGCCAGTGCAAATAGTGTTTATAAAACAAAACACAAGACTAGGTTCTAAACTGTCCCCACGGTACAAGAAAGAAACAGTAAAAGAAAATAGACATACAACTATTATCACAGAAACAGGTAGAATTGTTCACAAGAGTAACATAAAACAAGAGTAATAATAATAACATTTTTTTTCTAGTCCGATACTGCCTAGGGAAACATGTCCATATCCGTCTGAAGTAAGAAACATAAAATGAAATGAAAATTTTATACAAACTTTCCTCTAACTCACAATTGTTTTCCGCTTGCGGGTATCGATCCGATCGTGAGGGATCGGCCCATACCCTCAAAAAAACTAGTTCGTTCACCGAATAAATGATGGTTTTTTCTTCCTCTCCTCCCTTTCCCCATTACAGGATTTTTTTATATTTAATGCTTCTGCCATTAGCATTGGCAAATATGGAAATCACTAATTACACCGACGCTCAAACCATCTCAGTGTACAAAGGATTAGGAAAACTACATCAATCATCACTACATATATCATCAACTAAACTAATCCATATAATAGACCTAGAACAGCTAAAAACAGAATTGTATAAAATACGAGAACACACAATTAATGACAAAGGAAAGCTATCTCTACCATACACTAACACACGAAATAGTTCAAGCATTTTCCGCACTAAGTACTCTGACCTCAAAATATCGCAAAGTTCGATCAATCAATTGGATTGGTTCAGCCTGGAAATATGTGGCAGGAAACCCAGATCATGACGATTTAATTATGATCGAGAATAATTTAAATAACCTTATAACTAACAATAACGATCAAGTAATAGTAAATAAACAACTGCAAAATAGAATCAAAAATTTAACAACAAATATGCTCACGAATTCAATAAAAAAAGATAACAATTTTAATAACGAAATAGCAACAAGTCTGCAAAATCAGGTCAGATTGATAGAAGAAGAAATTGTAAATATTAAATATGCAATTCAATGGGCTAAAATTAACGTAATTAACACACTCATTTTAAATGAATTTGAATTAAATGAAGTAAATAAAATTTTTCAAAAAAACAACATAACCTCTTTATCAATCGAGGCAATGCTAAAATTTTTTGATGTTTCAGTATTACACAATAAAACAGCAATTATCTATATCATCAAAATACCAGAACTAGACCCCACTACTTATAAAGATATGTTAATAAAACCCGTTATTAAAAATAACTCCATTGTACACTTAGAAACGAACGAAATATTTGTAACACAAAACGAAATTATTATTTTGTACCCAAAAATTGTAAAATATCATATTACTTAAAAATATGTAAAAAAGAAAACACTGTTAATCTTAAACAAACAGAATGTATTGCTAAGTTAGTTGAGGGAAAGGAAGCGCTGTGTGACTTCAGTAATGCAGAACATATTCAGGAAATAGAGGAGATCGATGGCAGATTAATATTACTTAACTACACCGGCAATTTAATACACAACAACATAACCTACAAGCTAAAAGGGACATATCTGGTCCATTTCTGGAACGATACCGTCCAAATAAAAAACAAACAATTTAATAATAAAGGAAAAACTATACTAAAACCCGGAACACCAATAATCCAAATGTCACCCATAGAAGTGGAAAGATTAAAAATTATCATTAGAATCACTGGAGGCCCTCAACATCAAGAACACAAAGCACATAAACAACATAACACATTCTACCATAAACCCCATCGCAATCTTGTGCTTACTGGCCACTATTATACTTTTTTCAATAATCTCCAAAATTTGTTTTAAATCCAGAGACAAAGTAACCCTTCAAATTCAACAAGAGCTTCCCACGCTCAATAACAAACTTAAAATAAATAATTTAAAGCCAACGCCGATACAACCCGAGTTCAACAATATTCCATATTTCTAACACCCACTTGAGGACAAGTAGGATTCTGAGGGGGGAGAGTTAACAACAGAAACTCTTGTTACTCCCCTCGACCGATTCAATAAATTACTAGTAATTTGCTTGCAAGAATTGTACAACAAAGTATTCTAAGAAAAACAAGAGTTCAAAATCCTAAAACAACAATATTGAAGGATCCGTGGGACGAACCCACGCAACGCCGAAATTGCAGAGATTGCAATTCGATCCAGTTCAATCAAGTTCAAACCACTCCAATTCTTCGCCTAGCCGCCGATCACGCCATCAGAGTCGACGCCAACGTTCTGCCGACGCCGCTGCCAGACACCCACAGCTAGCTCAGGACTTACTTTAAAATTCAATGTTCAGTTCTTATTTGGAATCCGTAATAAAAGGTCATCTTTCGCAAAATAAAACATTAACTTATATTCTTTTTTTTATTAAATTCTAAAATTAATATATTAATTATTATAATTATTTATGTAATTATAATTATAATTATAATTTTTTATTTATGTGGAAGCAAAATAAAAAGAAATAATTAAATGTAATTAATAATTACATGTAATAAATATATCAAAACAAAGGTAATGATTTGTCCAGGAGGAAACCCCTCAAAATTTAATTAAAATCTTATTTAACATCACATAAAAGTGCAACGCCCCTTAAGGTCCAGTGGTCAGGATGCTTATTTGACTGCAGCCATAGAGCACATATGTAATTTAAATCCGTTCTATTAATTTTCTTATAAACAGGACAGGTGTATAATTTTGAATTTTTTGCAGCCGTTGAGAATATGGCATAAATATGAATTACGGGCATTAAAGTAAAAAGAACCTTATTTGTTGCCTCTACCAATCGAGATGTTCGCTTATCCCAACCGGCGCCATCTACAAATAAACCATATACAAAGACACCCTCTTTTGGTGGCTTTTTACATTCTTCAGGTCCAACTTTAAGAACGTCGTTGTGCATTGTCACTTGGTCTAGTGCCCAACCTTGATGAGCACGAGCAACCTCTTGACGCATTGCAGTCAGAAATCCTTGGGGATTAAAAAATCCAGACATCCAAAAGACAACAGGACGAGCTCCAAAACACCAATTGTAAAATTGAGTGTGCCGTTCCAGGAGTTCAGTGAACCAAAAGCCTAAGCTGGAGGACACCCAACTTCCGCGTTTAAACACAGTCGGCACACGGGCATTAAATATATTGTCCAAAGCATCTCGTAGATTCTCGCTCATGATTATAGTACCTTCAACAGCTAGTAGTAGGTCTTTGAAAATACTCCGTACTAAAATTATAATCTAAAACAGAAAAAAATGGAGAAAAATGGGAGGTAACTATATAATTAGGATATAATTATATTTATAAATAAAAATTTGTGAACCTTTTTCTCACCAAGTAGCTAAGTAGCGCTAGTTCGTTATAACTTCCCAGCATAAGCCATTGCTTACTTAAAACAAGAGAGAACGCTATATTCGAGTTCCCCGACTGGTCGTACCCAAAAAGTTGGATGCTTCCGGACAACAGAAATTTCGTATCTTATTCAACTACAGGAAACTAAATAAGATCACAGTAAATAACCAAAAAGACCAGAATAATAAGATGCGTAACGCCATACGATTTTTTTGCACACGATTTTTTCGTGCTGACTCTAGAGCTCCCTCCAGGCTCATTCGAATTTTTGTTCAAGAGCCAGAGAGAGAGCGCCCTAGAGCCAGCAGCTCTCTTTTACGACAGCCGATCTCTGTATGTGTGCAGGATATAAAATGAATGTTGTCCCGCGACGATCCAGAGTCTTCTGTCCTCGGACGGCGGTGATTACACGATCACGTCTGTTTGGGTCTTCTTATGAAGATTATGTTGGAGGGCTTGACTTCGCCCTCTTGATGGGATTTACTAGCCTTGTGGCGTAGCAATGTAATTGCTAATAATTTCAATTGCCGGAGCAAGTAGTGGTTTATTATAACTCAAAACTAAGACTGAAGAGTTGACAATTATCGAGACTAAGTTTACCCTCACAGCAATGCATCGCGCCACCACGACAAGTCGGCAAGCCGACTCAGCATTCCTTGCAGCGTGAAGCAACACTCCGAATCAGAAGTGTCAGCTTTCCGCTGCCTGACGTTCTTGCGCGGAGCGCTAAACCCAATTCTGGCGTGTCAGCATTATTTACGCGAAGCTACTTAGTTGCAAGAAATACATTAACAGTTGTTAACTACTCCCCCCTCAAGAGTATGACCGCCCTCGGTCATGTTGAATGTGTCGATGGTTCGCTGTATCTCCCTGGAAGCTCGTCTTCTCCTTAGTACCAGATAAAGGGCGAAAGAGCCAATTAAGCCAACGTTTAAGGCCACACCAGCTACGAACCAGAGTCTTGGTGAACCTTCAGATTCCATGTCATCTTTAAAGTCTTGGATGGAGCGTAGGTTCTCGTTATTCATCCGGTGTAGCAGGGGGATGCTGTGAACTGGGTCGTGGCCGATGATGTTAAGTAAAGGTGAGCGCACAATGCTTGGCTGCTTGCTGAAGGCCTTCCGTAGGTTGACGAACTCTGAGCCGTTGATGGTTGCCGTTCGCTCAAAGGTCACCAGGTGGGTTCCCTCTATCAGTATTTCTGGGCTTCCATCGGTGCTGACGCGAGCTGATGCTTCGTTGATAATCACAACGACCGCTCGCAGAACGTGTAGTGCGTGGTATCTGTGCATCCGGTGACCGCAAAGGTGTCATGCTCGCATTCGGCCAGCGTGTCCTCGTCGAGGCGTAAGATGATGTGTTGGTGAGATACAGGGTAGACGGCGACCTTCTTGCAACTGAACTTGACTGTGGGATAGGCAATTCAAATGTGAATGCTATTTTCGGACTGGAGGACCCTGATCTTGGATGCTTCTATTAAGCTGACAATTGGGGTGTCCTGTTCTACAAGAGACTTCAAGTCGACATGGTCAAGAATTGTGGGATTTACGATGTTTTATTTGGCCAAAGTGATAGTGAGAATTAAATTTTGAATTTCTGTAAAAAGCATCCTATTTCTTGCCAGTAGAGCTTCGTATAAGTGTGGAGTGTCAACCAAGTCATTCTTACGGGCATTGATCACCTTATTGATGGTGTCAGTTAACTTGTTTATTTGTTTCTGGGTTTCGGAATTTATAGTTATCTGCCTGGAATTAGACTCTACTAGTTGAGCCTCTGTGATCTTAATCTTTAAAAGGTCCGTGGCATCGGGAGTACCCGCCACTACCTTTAAGGCTGTTCCTAGGAAATCTAAACTCCTAGCAATCCTATGATGGACTTTGAGGACGGACAACAAAGTTCTAAGATGGTCAGTATCGACCTCTAGTAACTTACGCATATGCGATTGGGGAAAAGACTCGGACAATTTTTCTGTTTCGTCTATCATAAAGGCGAATTCGGACAGGTTGCTCGAGTGCCACGCTGTTCAAAAACCAGCACATCACCATCTACGACAGGGATGTAGTTGGCATGCGAAAAGTCGGTGATCCGGGCATTCGCTGTTGCCAGGGTAATGAACATCATGAGGGCAAACCTGGAATTTAGATATAGGGTGAGACTCCAGCGCTTGTGCTTTCTTAAAGTAAACTACTAACTAACTGCAAGGGGAATGCCTACTTAAGGTTGTCCTTGTGGACCACCCTCCCCTTAATAAGAACAGACGTTCCCAGGTCTGCTTGCACTTTTTGTTCCGTGCATAGTGGGGTCAGTTTATTTCCTAACCTCTTGTTGTTCTTTACAAACACGCGTTCTCCTACCTCAAACACACGGTTTTGTCGGGATAGATTGCATCTTCCGATGCTGTCTTGTTGTGCCTTTACTAATCTTGCCTTGATTTCTAGGCAGCGCTCGTGGGCCCCTGAGTGAACAACCTCAATTGGTCTCTCACGAGTAACTGAGTGCACGGTTTTGTTATATTCCACCGTGGCCCTCAAGATTAGCTCTATTGTGTCGTTAGTTTTTTTGTCTAACTTCAGGCATCTGGCTATTTCTGCCAAGGTGCAATGGAACCGTTCAACTTGGCCATTAGACACGCTGTGAAGCGGAGGCGCATTCACGATGTCGATGCCGTAGTTGTTCTTGAGCAAAGATGTGATTGTCTCTGAGCTGAATGCGGGTTCGTTGTCGCAATAGATAGTTTTGATGTTTGGGAAAAGGTTAATGATCTGCAATAGGGGCCTGTGATGTCCACTATTGTTCTTGATGTAACAGGTTTCACTATTGCAAACTTAGAGAATTTGTCGACCCACGTCAGGAACAGCTTCCTGTCGGTTGAAAATATGTCGATGTGCACCATTTCGCCAGTATAACTGGGTATGGGCGTTTCCCCGAGCTCTTGCTTCTTCGGGTGTCTGTCGTACTTTGCTTGGGTGCATACCCTGCAATTAGCTACCACTTCCTTCGTCAGGCTGCCCATTTTTGGAAAATAGTAGTCTCGAAGGACTTGTTTAATATTTTCCTGCGCGGCTCTGTGCGCACGGTTGTGCTCAGCAGTGACGATTTCAAGTTGTTCGTTTTTGTCGGTTATATCTAACACGACATTCTTGCAGTGACGGAATTGAGTGGCTGGAAAGTGCGTAATGAGGTCGTGTTGGAAGCTTGCTAGTGTAGGCAAGTCGCAATGAATAGCGTTCACGACGTCGGGATTAACAACTTCTTTGAGGGTTTTTAGCAGGCAACTCTTGTCAGTAAAACTGATCAGGTGGCGAGATTTGCTTCGGAACAGCACTAGGTTCCGCTTGAGCGGGAAACGTGCTGCCTCCAGAATGATCTGGTTTCTGAAGCAATTTAAAGGTTTGTCTGTGGTCTCGACCGTGTAGGTCAGGGAGAGCTCGCTGTGTATAGTTGCAGCGTCTGACTGGGGCTCATTTTGTAAGGCATTAAGATTTTGCCTGGAAAGGGCATCTGCCACGAAATTTTCCTTGGCGTTGTGTTGGTCTATATAGGATTTCCACTTCTTAATCTTAGCGTTCGTGTTCCTGTCGGTAACAGCGAACGTGAGAGGCTGGTGGTCGGTGAAAATATTGATTTCCCTGGAGCCGTACAGAAAATTCTGTAGTTTACCTGGGGCCCATACAATGGCTAGCAATTCCCTCTCATTTGTGGCATAATTTTGCTCAGCCTGTTTCAGGGTACGGGAAATCATGGTGATTGGCCTACCCTCTTGTGATATGACTGCACCAATGCCATTTGCTGACGCTTCTGTGATGAGGTCAAAGGGCTTTTGGAAGTCGGGGTACTTGAGTATGACATCCTCTGATGCCAGAATGTTACGAAGTCTTTGAAATGCGCTGCGTTGAGTTTCATTAAACTCAACACCAATCTTCTTAGACATATGCCTACTCACAGAACCTTTTTCCCCTTTCAGGATGTCCGTTATCGGACGAGCTATGGCTGCAAAGTCTTTGATGAAGACTCTGTAGTAGCTGGCTAGACCAAGGAAAGATCTAACACTGTAGACGCTTTTGGGTTCAGGGTATTCCAGAATGGCCTTTACCTTCTCTGGATCGGACTTAGTTCTTAGTTCTTGGTGTGCCTGGTTATCAATCGATCTGCTGCAGGATATGTCAATGCTGTGACATCCAGCGTTATGATGAGAGGCAGGTGATCAGAGCTGAGATCAGGAGCCGATGTTATGGAAGCATGAATATCGAGAATGCCTTTCGTTACTGCAAAATCAATGCAGCTTGGAGTTCCTCTCCTACCGTACGGATACCGAGTAGGACTGCCTGTAGCCAGCGTGTTGACTTCCGTACTAAGAATAAGATCCGCGAGAGCGCGACCTCTTTGATTGCATCTTCCTGAGCCCCAGAGCCAGTGAGATGCATTCCAGTCTCCTGCAATTATAAATTTTCGATGATTTAGCGGTAGTATGTCAGCAAATTCATTTGTTGTCCATGTGAAACGAGGAGGACAGTAAATCGCACCAAAGTTGATCACACCAAGGGCTGTGTTTATTTCTGCAGACGCTATTTGTACTTTTTCGCTGGTAACAGGGCTCAGAGGAAAATGCACCAAGCTAGATTTTATAAAGATCGCAGCTCCTCCTCTAGCATTGCCAACACTTGGATCATTAGCTGGATATGCATCAAAACCATATATTTTTGGCACAAAGTTTCCTCGGCAGTGAGTCTCACTAATTAGTATGACATCGATCTTATTTTCTCGCGCAAAGCACTCAAGCTCTGGCAGCTTCGTGGAAACGCCATCGGCGTTCCACATTAGAATGCGCAGCGGCATCATATTGTTGATCGTTGCGCTTGGAGGGCAACAAGCAAATTAAGAATTTGCC